TTCCATCTCAAACTCACCTTTTATTTTATAATGGCTTTTATGGATATGGGATAAATTTTAAGGTGCCATAGACTTCTCTTTGACCTTCTCTTCTTGGTAAAAGAAACTTTGTTTTGCAGTTGGTCAGGGCTATTCTGTGTCCCAATCAGATGACCTATCACAATCCTTACAGGCTTCTTTACAACCAGAAGAATCAAGGGGTCAAAATATACCACCCAAACTCTATTGTAAATATTTCAGAATATTTTCTTCCAGCTTTTTTTGTTTATTTTCATAGCAGGAGTAGTTGTATCTAGTATTTTTATTTAACATGATAGCATATACTTTCCCCCTTATCATTAAAAATTATTTGTTAGTGTTTCTAATGGCTGCAAAAAGTCCCTTAGATTGGATAAGCTGTAGTTTACTTCTCCCTTATAAATCTACCCATTCATTCATTCTTTCACTCATCCAATAAACATTCTTTGATTTGTTACTATGCAGAAAGCATTGTTATTGGCACTAGAAATAGAGCAATAAACAAAGTGTCTACCTTGATGGATGTTACTTTCTGGCATTCTAGTTGATAGAGAAGACATAATAAATGCAACACAAGCAAAAATATATAGACAAATATTGTATATATTACATGACAAAGGATGCTGAATGCTAATAGAAATATGAATAAAAGAACAAGGTATAGCCAGAGAGAGAATGAGGGTAGTTACTATTTTATGTTGGGTAGCCAGGGAAGACTACTCTGATAAAGAAATACTTAGGGCCTGGCCAGTGTTGCTCAATGGTTGGGCATCAACCTATGAACCAGCGGGTCACAGTTCAGTTCTCAGGGCACATGCCTGGGTTGTGGGGCTTGATCCCCAGTGTGTGGCTGTGTGGGAGACAGCTGATCAATGATTCTCTCTCATCATTGATGTTTCTGTCTCTCTCTCCCTCTCCCTTCCTCTCTCTAAAGTCAATATATATGTGTGTGTGTGTGTGTGTGTGTGTGTGTGTGTGTGTGTATATATACACATACATATATGAAATACTTAGGAAAAACCTCAAATAAGTAAAAGAATGGGTCATAAGAACATGTAGTAGAGGAAAAGTCAAGTTCAAAAGCCCTCCCTGGTGGAAACAGGCTTGGCCTGCATAAGGAGCAGCACCAAGGCAGGAGTGAAGTGAGGGAGGGGAGAATGGTACTGGAGGTCAGATCATACAGGCTGTTGTAGGCTTAAAAGGAATTATGAACTGTGTGACGTAAACTGGGACTATCCTAGGCAAACTGGGGCATACGGTTACCTTATGAATGATATCCAACACAGTTCATAGTTTCAGTCTTCAAACACTTTGTTCACTTGGCTTCTAGAATTCCACTCTCTTGATTTTCCTACTACTTCTTAAACCCCTCCGTCTTAGTTTTCTTGGCAGGTTTGTCCTCCACTTCCTACTGTCTAAACATGGGAGTGACTCTGGCCTCAGTCCTTGAATATCCTCTTTGTTTAAATACACCTCTGGCTGAGGTAGTCCCAGAGGTAGTCTCAGCCTCATCTAAATATTGACAACTTTTCAGCCCGAACACCTCTCCTTGATCCCTCTACAACTGCATACTCAGCTCTCTCCTTAGATCTCTAGCAATCATCTCAAAACTAACAGGTCCCAACTGAGCCTCTGATTGCCACCCTGCCTCTCAAAATGAATTCTTCTCCATCTCAGTGAGTAGTAACTTTATTCTTCTGGTGCTCAGTGATGGTCTGTTCCGCAGGCCAGAGCTGATGGTAGGAGAGGCCATCCCAGATCTGGGCTTAACATCCACGGATATGAGGCAGCCCTGACAGGCCACACAGCTGCACTTGACCACTAGAAGCCAGAGGACCCCCAGCCATGTAATGATGAGGAGACAGCCAATGGGGTTGACCAAAGAGAGTTATGCAGATGCTTAATAAAGCATGTTGTCCCTAGGATCAAAACAGAGGGGCAATTTAACATCTACAATCAGCAAAAGGTAAAAATGGAGGAGTAGGAGGCTGATGTGGTCATTCTAATAATAAAAATTGTGGTCCTTGCTCAGATCCTAGATCTGAGCCAATTTTCAAATTTATAGCCCATTGACTGAAGAAGTGGACAGGTCCTAGGAGAAGAACGCTAGACCATCATCATAGTATATACTGTAATGACACCCCACAGGGAACTATGGCCACTTACCCTAGTGACTGCACCCTGGAGAAGGAGGGAATCCCGCGCCCAGACATTTCAGACAATTGGACATAGGGTCTGAATTGCTTCAGGTATCCAGAGACCTGAAGCATCACCCCCTGCCTCTGGCAGAGTGGAGTTTATGGAGCCAGGTATTAAAGTAAGTCCTAGCTAAAGTCTAACCTTCACTGGGTCCCCACTGATGGTTCTTCTCACCAATTCTAACTGAATATAACTTCATTATGGTTTCCCTCAGAGTATAAGTCTGACACTACCCGAGGTCCTTTTCTTACTGCTTTAAAAAACTCTGAGTGAAAATGTGTTTTCAGAAGTCTTTAAACAAGGAAAATCAAGTATCATGAGCTCAGTTCTCTCTCTCTCTCTCATTATCATCATCATCATCATAAAAATCTTTCTGTAGGTGCCCTTCTCTTAATTTCTGAATGTGAAGGAGAAACTGTCTGAAATAAAAAGGAGATTTCGCACTCCACAAAGCAAGGTGGGATGCTACTAATAATACAGAACTTTTAGGTAGTGCTTCCAGAGACATCAGAAAATTCTATAGAAGCAGGTGCAATGAAACAAAAATCATGATACCGGAGGGAAAAATATCCAATTGTTTTCTGGGATAGATTACACATTGGATAAAATGCACTGGAAGAAGAAAAAAGAAATAGGATTGTATCTCATAAAAGTAAACACCAATGATAAACAATATTTTGTGTTTTGTTTTCCATCCCATTTCATAATAATACCATTACTGGCACAGGGCCAATAACATAGTTGCCAAAAATAAGGGCAAGGCTCTAGTAATGAGAATTGGCAGGAAAAGAAATAAGCTTGTGACATTCCCATCAATTATAATATTTTTTGAGTAAGTGTGTGTATAGAATTTTAAGCCACTTGGTTTGCTTTTCCTAAGTGAAAACTATTTTTATTTGAAGTATTCTAAAGAATGTTCCAAATTAGAAGGTTAATTGAATATTTTAGTGGTTGTAAATACATGTAGAGACTAAAGTATGTACTCTGAAAATAAATGTTGGTAAAATTTCTAATTGGTAACTAGATCATTAGAGTCATGCAAATATTGATTAGGAATCAGAACATTTTAATTCCTTAATTTTGTTTGCAAAGTTTAGTTGAACTTTAACCTAAATTTCTCTTATGTTGTAATTTTATGTATTGATTCATTTATGCTGTTTTGATAGGAAATAATGATGACAGTTGAGGATAGTTTGAGCAAAATCACTGAGACCATTTTGAGACATTGGGAGATAGCAGGATGAGAGCTTATTAGGAGATCCTAAGAACAAAACAAAGGATCAGGGAATTTGCTGCCACTGATTTTCTAGGGCAAATAAGTGAATTCCAGTAAGGCAGAGGGAGTTTAGGCATCGTATTTTTTAGATGAGCTTAATTTCATAAGAATACATTGGAAACTCATAGAAATACTGCAGTTTGAAGCGGACATGACACTACATTGTGGGGGAACTTTAGATTTTTTTTCTTAATGAGTTAAACTTTTTTTTAAGTGAAAAATTCCAAATAAAGGGCAATGTTCAAGATATATTTCTCTAAGCAATATGCTTCTCTACACATTAATTCTTCAGTAAAACAGTTTACTCCTTCCCCCTGCAAGAGAATTTGTGTCTTCTTGAAGTGAGCTTTGATTAGCAGAATCAGGTCCGCTGACTCTACCAGTGGCCACTCTGCCTGGACGTGATGTTTCCGCCGGAGTGGAGGTCAAGGCTGGAAACAACTGTTCCTGAAGGCTGCCTTGCCTTTTTAGGTTATGAGGGTCTCTCTGTGTTTAGGGTAACGTGATTGACAGCTCCACTCCAGTTCCAATTAGCACCCTATAATTTATTAGCTTCTGCTTTCAGATTATGCGGTAACTTCACAAATATTTCAACCACGGAAACAGCAGCTATCAAGTGTCTCTTTCCTGATCCAGCCTCTGGGGCTGGAGTGAAATACAAGGAAAGAGCGGTACAGTTGGTCTGTCAAGTGAGAATAATCATTTGTGTCTGTGCCTGTCTGAGGGCATGGTTCTCTGATTTCTGTTTAGGCGTGTGTGTGTGTGTGTGTGTGTGTGTGTGTGTATGGGATATATTTTAGGTAAATAGATTTCATTGTGCAGATACTGTGCTTGTATTATTAGAGTTCCATTTCATTTATTCATGGGAGATGGGAGAGAGCTGGTGGTGAGCAAATGTGAAATTTACATTTGCTTAGCCCTGTTGCTTGTGTAAATATCAAAACTTCCATTACGTACAAACAGCAACTATAATAACCATACCGCCTTTACAACATTACCACTTTTCTCCAGATTTTAGGAATATGTAATAGATATGAATAATAATAATCTGAAAATCTTGCAAGGAAGAATGGAATATATAGAGCAAAGACTTTGACAAGTACAATCAAAATATGAATTATTTCCATGCAAATTCCCAACAGACTTAAAGCAGGTTTAGAAAAGAATCATGGTTTCCAGTTTCTTCTATTTTAAGTCTTCTCAAACGTTTTTCCATTTTTCTTCCATGCTTTGATACCTAATGAATTACATTTAAAAATGCATTTTATGGAAATGGCATTTATGAGGAAAGTAGTTTGTCTAAGTTTTCTTTCTTATGTCCTCAATCTCCGAAGTAACAAATCACTAAGTGTTTTATGAAAACGAGTTCCTGGTTTATTTTGCTAGAACATGTGTAGATGCCTACACACAAAGGCAGGGTTTGTGACTCTCAGTGAACTGGAGGTGAAGGTTACCTTAACAGTTGTTTCCCTCGGATGCAAAAGGGCAGAGAAAACGCAGTACTTACCCAGAAAGAGTGGTCCGAGATGCTTCCAGTCAGGGAGACCGAGCCCCGGCACCCATCACCCCGGCCTTCCCTCCCATCCAGGCCCAAATGATTCTTAAGTCGTTGCTAGAATTTGCCATCCATTGGAATAGAACTTCAAAGGGGAAATGAGACAGGATGGCAACTCCTTCTAAACTAAAGGCGCAGAACAGATAGGATTAATTCCCTGTAGTTGGGTGACTGAGTTCCCAGCCAGAGGGCAATCGGCAAAAGGATTACTTGGTGGTGGCGAGTCGTCTCTCCCCTTTTCATCACCTCTCCCTCACGGTGAGGCCACGCACAGAGGCAAAACTGGATGATAGGACCCAGAAAATCCCAATAGGCGTGATCAGAGGAGAATCTAATCTTTCTTTCAGGCCCCAAAAAGGCGTAATATAGGGGAAAGCATCATGTTTTCTCATGTTATCCTTTCCTCACGTCTCACTTCCTTGAATATCCTTCTTTTCAACTACTAGGACCTTCTCTAATCTGCATGGTTTCATGAATATTAGCAACATGGTCATGGGAATTCATATTTTGCATGACTTGGTGGGCCCAAGAATGTCAGTGAGGGTTAATTCCCCAAAGTCCTCTCTGATGTTCTTATTACACTGGATCATTGTAGTTTAAGATCATCTTGTATTTCTGCTTTAGGAAGGCACAGCATGGAGGAAAATGCTCTGCTCCGTGTGTCCCATGTGCCTGGTCACCGGAGCCCACTCAGCAGTCTGGAGGTCTGCTCAGGACTGCCCCAAAGGCCAGTTCCAGTGAATGAGTCTCCCCACCGGCACCCTGATATTCAGGTCAGATGCAGCTCAGGAGAGAGGCTTCAGTCATCAGAATCCTGTGGCTGGGAAAGTGCTCCCAGTGGGATCTGATCAGAGATCTCGTGCGTGCTCCTGCAGGTGCAGCACAGGTAAACAGCCTCTTTCAGCGAGGACTACTTGGAGAAGGTGTGCAGCAGAGAATGCACTGCTGTGCTTTCTGCTTCCACTGCGTACTCAGTGACAACTTCTAAAAAGCAAGCTGGAACTTAATGCATTTTATTCATGCTTGTATAGTGCAGTGATCCATGCCAATGGAACATGGATTAAAAAATCCACAGAGAAGTCCAAAGTTAATTTTAGCGATTACTTCAATGTCCGAACTTCAGGCTAACTCTTACACGACTTGGCTAGGTTGGGTGTGAAGAGCTTCAGAGCAGTGAAGGCTAATTAAACCCTGAAGTGAATGAAGAGCAGCAGTTACTAGTAAAAGTTCTCCTTGGAGAAGAATGGAATTCTGTGTCTGACTGACTGGTTAAGGTAGTGGCATCTGATGAAGGGTCTGGGCAATGTCCTATGACAGTTCCTTTGAGACCTGGGATTCTGTAGGTTCTACTATTTGCTGCCCTGCCTCTTCCCTTCCTTAGTCATCTATTGGGGAGGAGAAATGAAGCCCACAATTGAGAAGCCAAAGACAAATCAGAGGTGGACAAGCAGTCACTGCAGTGAGTAATGGTGCAGTCTCTGTACCCGGGCTGCCTGTGTTGGCATCCTGGCTCTGCCACTGACTCGCTATATGGCTGGGCAAATTATTTCTCCTCTGTGAGCCTCTGTCTTCTTGTCAGTAAAAAGGGGAACATAATAATAAATATCACATAGAACTGTTGTGAGGCTTTAATGAGTTGACCTATATATAAAGCCCTCAGACTAGTGCCTGGTATATGAAAAGCAATTAACATTAGTTATTACTATTGTTATCATATCTCATGCAGTGTAGCCACATAGTACCTTCCATCTGAGCAAAAACAGTAATAGGTCCTTGTAATGATCATAATCTACTTCGCAGCTTACCAACAAGCTAGGAAGAGAGGATGGGTAACTTTGTTAAGTCATGCTCTGAGTAAGGTTCCTTAACTGCCCCTAATTTCTGTGACTATTATCCAAGATAAATTATATTTGCCTCTCATGTTATAATGAAGGTCAAGTTTTGAACTAATATTTTTATGCTTTAACAATCTACAAAGGCAACTTAGGTCTAACACAAAATATCTCTCTCAGAGACACACAAATTATTTTGGTGTCATGAGAAAACCATTAATTTCTTAATAATATTTTCTGCCTAGTGGTAGCTTTGGTTTCTTAGCCTAGGTTATTAAAATAAAAAAAATGACCAATATTTCAAAGACATTTTTTAACCAATGACTCTACTGTCTTAAGAGTCTGGAATTTAAGAAGTAACAATAATTCTTTTCTGAAAAAGAATAAATGCAGCCCAATCAGTGTAGTTCAGCAGTTTAACATCAAGCCAGGAACCACGGGGCCACCGGTTTGGTTTGATTCCCAGTCAGGGCACATGCCTGGTTGCAGGCTCAATCCCCAGCAGGGGGCATGCAGGAGGCAGCTGATCAATGACTCTCTATCATTGATATTTCTTATCTCTCTATCCCTCTCCTGTCCTCTCTCTCCAAAAATTCAATAATCTATAATAATAAAAGGGTAATATGCTAATTAGACCGGATGTCTTCCAGATGTCATTCTGGACATCCAAAGCCAGCCTGGGTCCGGGTGCCTGTGGGTGGCCAGAGGAGGGAAGCATCCTAGGTCTCAGGTGCCTGCTGGCAGGGGCCGCAGGAGAGAAGCCCGGGTCCTGGGTGCCGGAGGGAAGCCAGTGCTGGCAGCCGGGGGAAGGAAGGCCTACTCTTGCACGAATTTTCATGCATCGGGTCTCTAGTGTGTATATAAATGTGGATAAATGTGTATCTGACTGAATGGTGTACGGGTGGTGCTTTCAGTACCATCTCTGTGTCTGACTTCATGAATGCTAAGAGGTAAGCCCTGGGCTGCTATGGCCACAATTGATTTTCTCACTTGTAAAAAGAGAAGGGTGATACATAACGTTTCATCTCCAAGCTTGATGAGTAGAGGGGTTATTATTAGGTTTCACAGAACACAAACACTTTGGAAAAGCAAAAAGGAATATATATATATATATATATATATATGTGTGTATATATATATATATATATATATATGATAAAGTAATTTTACTTTCTGACATGAGGTCATACTACTATATTTTATTCTACTAGAGAAACATAGGATGATTTATTTTCTTTTTATGAAAGAACAGAGGGACCTTGTAGTAAACAGATACCTTTAATGTTTGTTTCTTCTTCCTCATCACCCTCAGCTTTGCCCAATGCACAGACCCCTTCCCCTGTCCCAACAATGAAGTGACCAAGTCATGACCACAGAGACCGAGAAAAATATTCGAGGTATTGGAGACTCCATGGAACATTCCTTCCCCTTGCGGTGACTCCTACTTCTTCATGGAGACAGTTGGGGTCTCTTGATGCTTTGTTTTCATCCAGGGGAGGAAGGCGAGGGACAGAATTTGTGGGAGAGAAGGCAGAGAAGGGTTTCTTCTTTCATCGTAAAATGTTCCTTGTAAAAAATACGATATATACACACACACACACACACATATAAAATATATCCAGTGCAATTGCAATTGTTGTGCCAAACACTGGGAAGTGCCACCTTGGTCGATGTATTTCTGGAGTTTTAAACAGTTGTCCTACAACAGCTGCATTTCAGTAAGACGTGGGCAGGTGGCTCCAGATGATCCACTTGCCACTCATATGCAGGCTGAGGCCTCCAATGTTCACAGTCCAAAGGAAGAAAGTGTGTCTTTGTGCCTGGAGTCAGGGCTGTTGGGGGGAGTGGGCAGGAAGGGAGCTGGAGGCTTCCGAGATGAGGAAGAACGATGGGCTTCTTTTTACTTCTCTACCACAGTCTTCAATGCAAATACAAATACATGTTAAATCTGAGGATATTGACGTCAGTAGTGCTCTGATCACACTACGTATGAAATAATTCACATCAGCATAAAAAATATTCACACCAAAAAGTCCTTTTGTCTTTCCCTCCTTCCGCGATAACTTATGCTATCCTATCACCGAAGTGATCTCACCACAGATATTTCCAGTGATTTGCCCAGAAGTCATTAAACATAATTCAGAGTCTTTGGATCTGCTCTTTTGGCAGAAGGAATTATTATTAGATGAAATCTCTGAGGTGTGTGATTTGGTTTTCCCGACACAGGGAGAAGTTCGAAGTCTCTGCCTTTCCCCATGTCCTCATCCTTGAAGTGAGAGGCACAGATGCTGAGCCTTCTGGCTGGTCAGAAGGGAAAGGGAAGGGGGAACCCTGGGTCAGCAGGTCAGCTCAGGAGGGATGCACCACAGAGGGAATAGCGTCGAGCTGCAAACCAAGATCAGAAGCTGTTACAAACCCACTCCATTCAGCTCTGAGTGTCACCAAGTGCGCTAGGCAGAGACCTATGGGGAAAGGTGGGCTGTCTAAAACCAGTACAGATCCTTGCTTTTGTCCCGAGGCTGCAAACCTGAAAGCAGAGAGAAAATAAAAGAGAGAGACAGAGGGAGAAGAGAAAGAGAGAGAGGGGGAAAGCAGGAAGGGGGGGGGAGGGGAAGCACAAGATAGTTAAGGAAAGAGAAAGAGAAAGACAAACACCACTGTTTTACTGTGGAAGTCACAGAATTTATCTAAAGGGCATGAATGAGAGTAAAAGCAAAGCCAACAGAAATGCCAAATCTTCACCTGAGGGAAGGGGGAGTGGGCAAAACTACAAGCTAATGATTGTATTTATAACTCTTTTTTTATTGATTTGTCCTAAAACTAAAGAGAGCAAAAAAGTAAAGCCTTATATGAATGTGCCTTTCAAATTCAACTCTTCAAGCCAGAGACTTATTACTCTTGTTAAGTTTTATGTTTTTAAGAGATTTGCCTAATTTGGCAATTAAGTTGATATTAGTCATATATTTCTTTCCTTATAACTGTCACTTGGTGACAAGACACTCCCCCTGCCCCCTTGTGCCCCCAAGCAGCAGAGGATTTTAATCTGCACCCTGAGCAGGTCTCTAGATCAGCACTGTCCAATACAGCACATGGGAACCACAGGCGTAATTCTAAATTTTCTAACAGCCACAGTGAAAACAAGTATAAAGAAACAGGTGACACTTCGTCTTAGTGATATATTTTACGTAACCTAATATATTCAATATGCAATGTGATGAAAATAACTCAACATGCACTCAATATAAAAATATTAGTGAGATAAATTTTACTTTTTTTTGTACAAAGTTTTGAAATCCGTTGTGTATTACACACTTCGAGCACATCCCAGTTCCGCCTGGCCACATTTTTAAGTGCTCAACAGATACACGTGGCTAGCGGCCACAGAATTGAACAGCGCGGAACTAGAACCTTTCCAACAAATTGTATTTTTTAAAAAATCCTGGGTTAACATTCACCAGCTAGGTAGGTAGGGCAGGGTCCTTCTTCCCCATTCTGCCCCCAGGGTCATCTGGCTCCTGAACACAACCCCTCCATGCAGACACCTTCAGACCACCGTGTCACTGGGGTCTCCAAGGAGAAGGAAAGGGGGTCCCGGGCTGAGCCCAGGGCGGGGCCCGGGGCAGGAGGGGCCCGGGGGAGCCCAGCTCGCTCTCCGGCTTACCTGAGTCCACGCTGAGGCCCAGCCCCTGGGCCACGTCTCCTGCGGGGCTAGCGAAGGGGCCCCCGGGCGCGGCCCACGAGGCGCCGGTCGGCTCGCCCTTGGCCGAGAGCTCGCAGGGGGGGCTGCCCGGCGCGGGTGCCGGGGCGAGCGCGAGGCGGGCCGGGCGCCCGGAGGCTGCGGGCATGAGCAGCGGCCCGTAGCGCGGATCGAAGTGCGGCGCGTAGACCTCGTGCACCGCGGGCCGCGGGTAGGCGGGGGCCTGGGCGCCCAGGGCGCCGCCCAGCGCGTAGGGGTGGTGCGGGTGCGGGTGCGGGTGCGGGTGCGCCTGGTGCGGGTGCGGGTGCGCGTGGTGCGGGTGCGCGTGGTGCCAGGGCTCCGCGGCGCCCTGGTGCAGGTGGCTGTGCAGGGCGGCCGGCGAGTAGGGGTCGGCGGCGAAGGGCAGCTCCGAGTGCGCGGCGGCCAGCGGGCTGCCCAGCGGCGCGGGCACCGGCGCCTGGTACGCGCTGTTCCAGAAGGAGGCGGGGAAGCTGCGCTGGCTCATCGGGTAGGAGCCGTCTGCAGGCCGGCGAGCGGAAGAGGAGGAGAGGGGAGAAAGAGCTCGTCAACTCCGGGAAACGCGATTGCGGGCCCCCTAGGGCGGCCGGGAGAGCCGAAAGCGCAGGGCCCGCCAACGGCCGGAAAGCGGCGCCTGGGGGCGGATCGGCAGCCTACCCTTTGGGGCGGCGCCTCCCTGAGGGGGCTGCAGCCTGTGGATTCCAGGGACGGGCTCCGAAAAACCGGGGAACCCTATGGGGTGCAGGTCCGCTCCCTCGATTTTGCAGAGCCGGGGGGTGGCGGGCCGCGGAAGGGCGGAGGGGCCTCCTCCCCAAGCCCCAGTCTCGGGCTCAGGGAGTGGCACCGACCTCCTCCCGAGCTGCCTCCGCGGCCTGGGGCCGACGCGGCTTCCCTACTCCAACCCGCAGCCGCTCAAGCTGATTCCTCTTCCCGCTCTTGGTCCGCCGCCTGGCGATCTCACTGCCCCCTCTCGCGTTTCAGCCTCCCTTGTTCTTGAAAATGCGTCTCTGATAGACTAGACGTCCATAGACATATTTCGAAGTCTTGCTATTATTAGCATCCTTTCTAGAAACCTTCTTTCAGATATTTTTTCCAAGAACTCGAGCAGAACAGTAAACCAGATACACTAAAAGGGCAGCTGTATTATTTGCACAAAGGGACGCGAAGGGAAAGGTCTTTTAAGTTTTAACAAACTTCGTGCATCCAAGTGTGGATGCCACTCTTATAATTTATTATTAGTATTGTTATTATGATCACTGTTGATCCCTAGAGTCGGGGAGCATTTTAAGAGAAGAGCATTTAGATAAAATTTGTTGCCTTCAGTTAGGAGGGAGGGAAAGAAAGACATTTAACTCAAGAGGCCTTTATTGAGCACCTCTGGGGAACGCATCTGTACACATTCTAGGGAATTTAAAGTACTTTTAAAATACATTTCAAGTAATGAACAGTCTTCCTCTTAAAGATATTTAGGCACCTGAATAATAAAAAGAATGTTCTGTATTCAAAACTAATATTTTTGGAGCTTGTCTAGGCAAGGCTTTTACAAACTTTCACTCAAGGTAAAAAAATAAATAAATAAAAAGGAGAGTAAGGGTTGTCATTTCCTCCAAAATGTAGTATTTGTTTTCCTTTTTACAACAAAGTCCTGACTTCTCAGTGTGGTACATATTAAAAACTAAGCTTAGTGAGAAAGTTTACCAAATAGTTCACTCTACCCTTGTCTGGGTAATGAGGAAGGTTGAGATTTCAGAATAAAAGGGAAATGTAGTTGACTTGTCCAAGAAATCATGGTCCCAAACTAGATAAAGCAGTGCTTTCTGGGAAGGATAGAACAATAAAGAGATGTTTTGACTCTACCTAAATACTCATTTCCTTGCTACTTTATTTGCTTATTTGAAAGATGCTTTCTGCTTCAAGAATTCCCAAGTAATTGAAACCTGAGAAAAAGGCACAGGTAGGTTTTAGGAGACATTCTTCAGCACCTTTTGCTGGCAGTGGGGCCTAGGACTTTTTATTCTGGGCAAGTTTTCAGAAACTGGGTAAGGGCCCTGAAAACCTCACATTTCCACAGTGCATTTACATACATTTTCTGTTTGCTTTAGGACCATCTCCAGGGATAGTTAGGAGGGCAAGTATTATTCTAATTTTAGAGGCCAGTAAATAGAGTGACCTCAAAGAGGTTAAGAGACTTGCCCAAGGTCATAGTGCTAGGAGGCAGGGTGGAACCAACAGGCCAGCCCAGGCCTCCCAATCCCAAGGCTAGTGTTTTTCTAGGTCAATGTTCTGCTCTTCTCTGCCTCCTGCAGGAGAGATCTTCTGTCTGTGCCTATTCCTCCTTCGCTTTCCTTACCCATTTCCAAGTGCTCTCCTCACTTCTTCCCTGACACCTAGGATTCTCTCAGCTGCATCTCCTTGAGCCCCTCTAGGTGGGCCCCAGGCTGAGGGGCCTCTCTACAGGCCCTGCCATACTCACCCCGCCAGGGCCCAGAGCTCCTCGGGGCTTTGCTGCTTGTACAGCTTGGCGAGTAGCTGCTAGGCTGGCTCAGGGCCCTGCTGAAGTGTTCGTCCACCACGGAGCTGATGTCCCCCTGGAAGTAGGTGAACAGGACGCAGCGGGAGTTGATGTACTCCGCCTCTGGTGGGCGCTCTTTCTCCGGGCTGCCTTCTTCCTCCTTTATACTGGCGGGAGTCTGGCTGGAAAAAGAGGAGCTGCCGCTGCCGCTGCTGTTACTTGGGCTGGCGTTGCACTCTTGGGCCTCCTGCATTTTGGAGTAATAAGCTAGTTTCTGCTCCAAGAGAGAAGGAAGAGAGTAGTCAGTTTCAAAAGAGATGGCCAGTGGGGTTCAGGCGACACGTGCTCCTCTGATCCCTAAGGTTTCCAGGGGGGTAACTGGCATATGTGCCCCAGCGCCGTGCTCACTGATGCGGGCTGCACAGCCTGCCCCTGAGCACGGGTGGGCTTCCCGAGAAGCAGGTTGCCCTTCCTGATCTTTCTGTCATCAGGCATTGCTGCCAGGCCGCAGGCAAAACTCTGAGGTGTCAGCTTACATAATACAAATAAATAATACAATAATCATTAAGTGATAACGCAAGAATAAACTCCGTGTTTCCCATACTCGCAACTGTAAACCTACTTTTGCTTGCCCCTGTGTATTTTTCAAAACCGGCCTCCATGAGTAAAGGGCACTCAGACCAGTTAGGGCCGGGTTGTCCCCTGCCTGAATCCAGGGCAGAAACACAAGAGGTGGGATTAAGCATCCTCATGACGGAACATGAAAACCCACTCCACACGCCCAGGCTGCAAAGGAAGCCCCGCCACCGAATGGAAGGTTTGAAACGGTTCCACTTAGGAAAGAATCATGTGGGTGAACAGGTGAATGACATCCTGACATGGGTCGTTGTTATACACGCCAGTGGATGTTTGTTTGGTTGCCCATATACTTTCCATTTAAGAGTCTGTCTCAGTTTTTAAAGAGATCTTTTTTTGAGTAAAGAAAAACCAATGGGTTATGAGAATTCCCAGCCTTGCCATCTCTGGGCACATTGAGGAAATGAGTAATAAAAAGGAACCAAGGAAAATCTTGGCGGCGAGGCTCTGTAAATCGTGACTAACTGATAGTGATTTTAAAAGATGAAGTGCAACTACTGTAAACATTTTCTTAGAAATGAGAAATGGATTGGATGTAATGTTAAAGCATTATGCAGGCAGAGATGGCCTGGCCATGCAAAAATGAACAGAGATCTTCATGCAATAGATTGGTCCAGGGCCAGGGAGGAGAAAGGAACAGAGAGACAGAAAACCACCCCACCTCTCCTCTTTGCAATAGTTCCAGCCTGGGAAGGAGCTGGGTTCAGATGCTGAAGTCAAAAGAGCCATTTAGCAATATCACTACTTCTACCCTATTCCCGCTTGGCTTACAATGAGAGGCTCTGATGAGTCCTAAAATTAACATTGAGACTCAACAATCTCCTGGCTGGGAAGTGAAAAGAGGAGGAGGAGGGAAAAAGCAAAAGCCGAATAGATGTTTTGAATTTGTGAGCAGAACTGGTGAAAGCCTGGGCTCTGTCGGACATTGGAGTGTATTTCAATTCCCCCAAAGCAGGAATCTAGGCCCTCACTTTCCAACCTGGTCAGGCCTCCCACGAGCCCCAGGATGTGATCTGGGTCTTTTCCTGGACCACTGTCCTCACTTTTCGCCACTTCAGCTGTGGAAACAGAAAGAACTGCTCACCAGATGCAGCCCAGAGAACAGATAAATAGGAATAATTAAAGGAAACTTGAGTTTGCAGAACCGGGGTTAAGTGGTCTTATTAACAGTGCATTTGTTGATGGCAGGGCAGCCCAATTTGGAACTCCATCTCCTCAAAGGTCAAGTATTAGCTATGAAGTTTGCCTCTGCCCAGTCAACTGTACCCCAGTAATATCCCCCCAAACTGTGCAAAGCAAAGATGATAAAACCAGTGCTTTTCCTATGGGACTCTCTGTAACGAATCCTCTGATTCTGAAATTAATGGGCTTGATCGTCTGGGCATTGAAACGGGAAAAAAAGTATGCCTTATATAAGTTTGCAGGGATGAGAACGAGAATCTCTGCATCTCCAACAGAAAGACGGACACAGGCTTTGGCTTTTGTTGGGACCAAAGCTTGGTTTTCCGTGGGCAAGCTTTGCTCCCATCTCCCTGCACCCGCACTGGGCTCAGACGAATCTGGAGTCCAGCAGACACTGAGAAAACAATCCAGCGGGCGCCATCCTCCTCGAGTATTCCCGGCAAACCCGCATTAGCGGGGCTTAGTCGCCTTCCGAGAAAGCAAACGGAAGGGTGAGCTCAATCTACCGGTGGCAGCGCGGGCCATCCCGGCATCCGGGCGGCGCCTGCCGCTGGTCCCACGCCCGGACCCGAGCGGAGGCGCCCTGGACCTCGGGGTTCGGGTCTCGGGGTCTGCAGACGCCTCGGCGCCTCCGCGGTCCCGGCCCCTCGCGGGCACGTACCTGGTGGTAGGGGGTGTAGGCGGTGGCGAAGTAAGGCTGGTGAGGACCGTAGACTTGGTACATAACATCCAGACAGCTCATGGCTCTCCGCAGCGGAGCCGGCTTAGAGGGTTACCATCCACTCGGGGTCGGCGGGGCGCAGGGATGCTGCATGGGCGGCCCTGGGACCCCGGCTCCGGTGTCATCGGCGAAGGAGCGGGGGCAGCGCGCCCCGCGGCTCGGGCTCCCGCTCGCACGCCCCGCCCGCGCCCCAGCAGCTGCAGCCCCGACCGCGCTCGCTCCGGGACAGAAGCGCCCGGGCTCCGGCGCGTGGGCATTTAAACCCCACGCCGTCAAGCGGGCGTGCTGACGCCACTCGGAGGCCACGGGGGGGAGGGGAGGATGGAGGGCGGGGACCGGGGGGCCAATGGAGAGTGGAGGACGGGGACCCGAGGAGATGCGGGTGCGTTTCCCCGGGCGCAGCCTGGGTACTGAGCCCCGAGGCTTCGTGCCTGGAGGCGTCGGGATGCCGGCCGGGCGAAAGCAGGAGGGACGGGGGCCGCAGGGAGGTGGGGAGGAGGGAAGGAGGGCTCTTACATCTGAAAGGAGAAAGGAAGCTGATGCGAGGTGGGAAAAGGCTCGGGGGAGAGCGCCGGCCGCGCGCCGGGGAGTAGAGTGTGCGTGCGTCCGGGGGTCGCGCGGCGGGCAGGGGCGCCCTGGGCTCGGGGTGAAGTCCAGCCGCGCTCCCTAGGAATTCCCTGGGGGACCCGGTCCTCGCAGGCTGGACGTCTAAGGAGCCCGGGCCCTGCTCCCCGGCGGGGGAAGGCGCTCTGCGGGGCGCGGCAGCGGCTGGAGCCTGGATCCGCGGTCTGGCTCCGCTTCCTCGCACCTCTTCCGACCCGATGCACCGCCGCCGGCTCCCCCAGCTCTACCCCGCTCCCGGGGCGGGTCCTCCTGCCCCTCCGGCGGCCGATCCCGCCCCTTTCTCTTTGATGTGCTCCACCCGAACCCGCCAGGTTCGCGTGGCTCTCGCCCCGCCTCTGGCTCCTGCGGTGCGAGTTGCTTTCGAGGAGTCCCGGAGGCCCTACCCAGCCCCCCGGCCGCCGCGCGTGGCTCCCGGGGCGTCCGGGGAAGTTTCGGTAACTCTGAGACAAGAAGGCGTCCGCTGCCAGGAGTTACCCTAGGGCGTGCACGGAGGTCAGAGAGGTCTTTCGCTGCTGCCTCTGCAGCCCTTTAGACAGAAGCTGCGATTTTCTGTCTCACTTGAGAGGTGAAGGGGTGTGCACAACCGTGAGACACGCATCGCCATTCTCTCTCCTGCCCCGACCGAGAGTATTCCTGGCTCCCACCTGCTCCCTGCGACGCTAGGTGCTCCCCGTCCTCCCCAAGCACCACTCACACCCTCTCCCGGGAGGGGCTGTCACGAGTTTAGGAGTAAACTGAGCCAGGCTCTCTGACGCTGTCAGGTGGCGACGGGCGGACGGGCGGTGGGCCAGACTTGGGGTGGGGGGTGGGGGGGGGGACGGGGCGAGGGGCAGAGTTGGGCAGCCTTGAGAGCCCAGACCCCGGGAAGAGGCAGAATGGATGACTGATGCAAGCGAACTCCGCTTATTCTCCAATTTAAACGCAACAAACAGTCTGGCCTCGGTTCCCAGGCTATAAAACTGCGAACAAATGCACACTCATAGAGATGTATTGTTTCTATAATATGATTATTTTTTAAGTAAATGGTTTTGGGGTGGAATTTTTGGTTCTGCCCGAATTATAAATGGGCAATGGCTCCATGTCTCCAATTCCATTTCTAGATGGTGAGCCCGCCTGGGCGCTGGGAGAGTTTCTTTGATGAACTGTAATGTATCTGTTTGAAAGAAAATTAAAATAAAAAAATAAAGGCACCCCTTAATCCGGTTTTACTGAGCCTCTTCCTTCAGAAGCGAGGCTGAGCTCTGCTAGTTTCTGGAACCTCTCGCTCTTGACGTGGCACACCCATTTTTGTGTGTGTGTGTGTTTTTTTTGGGGGGGGGGGTCCTGCTCCCCGCCCCGCGCAGGCCTGGGCCAGGTCTCAGGTGCTGCCGGACCCCAGGTGCCCACGCGGCCGCGCCCAGCACAGGTCATGGCGAGTAGGCGCGGCCCCGCGGGGGCCACTGTCAGTCCCTGGACAGAGGGGCTCCCCCTGGCTTCCTCCTGTAGGGACGTCTCCTGGCGCCGCAGCCCGGGCTCCGTGGCAGGCGACCCGCAACACTTCGCGGGTGGAGAAAGCCGCAGGAGGGGAGGCCGGATTGCACGTCTCGCCATCGGATGCTGGGCTGTCGTCCTCGCCGTCCAGGAGCCACCTCCTGTCCCTTACGCCCCCTCACTTTGACATTTTTGTTTACCTTTGGCCATGCGACTAGAGAAGAACTCTGATTTCCCCACAAATTCGGGAGACAGTAAGGACAACGACGACGACGACGACGACGGGAGCAGCGATTTCCCACATCTGGAAAGAAGGAAGAGAAGAGACTATGACCCCAGTTGCCTAAGGCTGCTTTCTCTTCCCATTTCTCAACCTCTCCTACTTGAAACGGTTTTCCCAGCCTGGCCAAAGCCCAGGAAGGGCACTTACTGTCCGCACAGGAGGTAAAAGGAGCACAGGGGATCGGGTGGGCGTCCACCTTGAACCCAGGCAGGAAAGCGCTGTGCTCTCCCCAGACTCAAAGTGAGGGGAGAAAATCAGCAGTCCGCAGTTTTAAAACATGCCCACGCCAGGAGCACACTCAGCCCTTTCTGTAGCTCTGAGATGCTGTCATTCACAGGAGGGTGGCCCTTCTCCCTTTGACAGATCCCCTCTCGTTTCTACGCTGAAGTGGAAAATAAAACAACTCAATTCAAACCTCCTCCAGCCGTTCAAAACACCAGGACACCCACACTTCACAGAAGTCAGGTTTTGGTTCAGACCCTTGCGATAAAGGAAAAAACTGGGGGGGGGGGGGTCTCTCTCTGCCGCTCACCCAGTTATTTTAGAAGAGACGAAGAGGCTGCAAACCAAACAGTTACATTTCCTGAAACTTGGGTCTACTGGACAAATGTACCAACACCCGCAGAAAGATGAACCGATTGCATCTAATCGAATTTCCTTTTAACCTCCTAACTGGGCAGAGACAAGATCAAAACTTCCTCTAGAAATGAATTCAGTTTATGAAGCTTCATAGCAATTTATTGAGCTGCCAGTAAGGAGTTTGCCATATGAAAATTAAGTCAATGCCACCAAAATTTCCTTTTAGTACTCTAGTTCTAGTGTGCAATTCGAAGAATAACTAGAACTGTGAAAATCAAAGTTACTTTTATTCTCAAAGTTCACACATGAAGTTAAATGACTTTGGAATGAATACATTACCGCCTGCATGTTCCTGTCTACCTTGCCATCTTATTCTGAAAACTGCAAAGAAGCAGTTTAGGAAAGACGTGTGGATAGAAGTGATTTGGTGAACTGACCTGCAGCTAGCCCAGGCCCTCCCGTGCCCACGGTTTATGTAGATCATTGAGGGTTGGCATTTTGTGCCACCTTGTTCTGCCAAGCGAATGGGATGAACACAATCACAATCTCATGGACGTTTATATGCCTAAGCCCATTTTGCCTGCTTTTCAGAGCAGAGATGTGTTTGGAATTTGAAGAGTGGCTGACAAGATTTTGTGGATTCAAACTATTAATAGTATTAGTTGAAAATAGGTCTGCAAAAGCCAGCTTTTTTAGGCATGGAGTGTCACTTAGCAATGATACTCTAGTAATTAATGGAGAGGCTGGATGGTGATTTTAATTAAAGAAATAAAAAAGAGAAATTTCTGTACTCTGAAACCTTACTAAAACGCTAAGCGGAGGGACTCCAGTTTGACTTCTTAGTGAAAAACCAAGGAAAAGAAGGTTCAATTATTTTCATACAAACTTAGAGTAGTTCTTAACAGTGTTTTCAAGTAAAAATCCTCCATGGTCTGGCCTGGTGAATAGTTGAGACTGCTCTGTAATTATTGACATATGTTTGATTATTATAAGAATGTTAAACTTTTCCTCCTTATATTTTAAAGATATTTTATGTCAAGTATGTCATCTTCAGCATAGGTGAAATAATCACAACTTTCTGAATTTAATTTTCTCTTGAATTCATGCTGACATTAATGGCCAGTTCTAAGAATGGAAATGTATTTAATACCATATTTATCTTTCAGAAATGCTATTTTTAATGAGTCTTTACAAAATGCATAGTAAAAAGACATTACTATACAAATTAATTCATATGACCCAAACTTTTAGAAATGATAACAAGTGCTGAAATAAAAATTTGGAATAGATGTGTGTAAAATATTTTGGTTTGTTAGATTTTTACAAGGGAGGAAAAGTTAGAAATTTACAATCTCTGATATTTACTTGGACACAAAGAGTTAAGTCAAAAGGCATGTATCAATTATTTTTTAATGGGAAGAAGTTGTTTTTCATCTTTACTTGGCTAGAAAACGCACTTTACTTGCCTTAAATTTCTGACAATAGTGAAAAAAAAATTTTTTTGAGACACAATCCGGTCATGCCAGCCTTGAAATTAGCATAGGTATGAAAAGCCTTTTGAAAGATAAATAGAGGAATCTGCAGGTTCAGAACTTGGAAGTGGACTGGAGGATTTAAACTGTTGACTTAGATATTTGACAGTATTGTTGTTGACCCATTCCCAAAGTGTTGTTTATAAATGCCATGTCAGCAGGATGCGAAAGGGCTCAGAAGGAGGCCACAGCAGTCACAGACGGTGAAGATGCCCATCTGAGGGTGGCGTCCTGTCATGTGCTTCAAGAGTTCTTGAAACAGCTTCTTAGACACTGTCAGAGGAAGCTCCTCTCGGCATGTGCGGAGGAATTTTTAGCACTGACTGGTAGGCTGGCATTGTCTGTCTTTCATTTCTTCGGTAATTGTGACTGACTTTAAGCACATTTCATGATGACATAAATAAATTTGATTATGCGTTAAGTAAAATCATGTAGTCTGAGGTTCAATGGTGCATCGGAACACTTAGCCCAGCAGACCCCAAAGCTGAACACACTTTTAATTTTCTTCTTAACTTTACACAATAAATACTGTGCATCATATTTTAAGAGGAAATCCAGTTGTTAATGATGAAATTTAAACTTCATTGGCTATTTTTTTTATGATAGGCATGAATCAATCAATTGTAAAATAATCCAACCTGTGACATTATCTGAAAAAATTTAAAAAGCTTAAAATTTTGAAATGTAAAATTACAAAAACAGCATATCATTTTTTATGCCTTATGCACAATATTGCCACACAGAGAGTGCAGGTGGATAGTTGGTATTTCTCTAACTAACCATGTAAAAAATCATACTGAAAAAAATCCAGGTCT